TCGTAGAGACCATATAGGACAGGGTAGAAATGCCCCATAGGGTTTCCAAGGAGCAGCTGGTGGATTTGAACTGCTGACCTTTTGGTTAGCAGCCATAGGTAGCTGTTAACCGCTGCACCACCAGAGCTCCAACTGACACATAGCCAAACGTACATAGGAGCTCAAGTTGTGTTTATGTTATATAATTGCAGCTAACTAGGCATGTTTCTAAATAACTTAACTACTTCAGTACTTACCTGTGGCATTCAGTAGTATTCTACTTATTTCCTCCCTAACTATGTCCTAAGCAACTAAAATTAAGGTCAACTCAGAAGAGATTTGAACTTAGTCATTTAGGGAATGGATTCTGAACAGATTCTGAGCATTTCCTCTGTTTCTTGCTACTCTGTTCCATTGGGTTGGATAATTGAGCAATGACTACACAGCTAAAATAGTGCTCATGAAATATCGCAGTTATATTAAACATAAGTAATGTGTTAATAATGTGAAATGTTAAACATACATTCTTTTGCATTTTTATAATTTGCAGTCTAAATCAAATGCAAGTGTATGAATTACATTTAGTAAGACATTTGTCCACAATTCCCATCTTGATAAAATGCTCATTTATTCGGAATAATTTTTGACTCACTGATCTAAGAATACATTATATATCTATAGACCGTTCTGATAGGATTTCTTTTCTCTAGGTCTTCTTCTTCTGCAGTGTTTTATAAATGAATGAGTTTGAATTTTATTTGCAATATCACCTATAAAAATTTCAGTTGGAAAGAACAAGAGAGATTCCTAATAACCACTAAAGTGCAAAATATCATAAAAATTTACATTCCAATCAAATTGGATTTATCCAATATTTCATTCATATATGAAAATATATCACAGTTTCTTACAATGCTTCCTACTTCCTATCATAGTATATGAACTGTAAACTAAGAATAAAAAAAAAAACTCCCTAAAAATGTTCAAGATCATTCTCACCCCAACAACTCTTCCCACACTTCAAATGCCTCAAATCATTGGTTGGAATAATGAATTCCAAGCTAGAAAGCACTTTATACAGAGGCTTGAGCTATTTAGAAAGCTTTTATGTAGATTAGCATGCCTTCTGCTCTTCTGCCGTCTGATAACTTATCATTCAAAGAAATACAGAATGCGAAACCATTATAAAATCAGGTAACTTCATATGTAGAGAAATGCAGTGTAGTCAGTGGAATATAAAACTGTAGGTGTTTGAAACTCTTAACTGCACCTTCACATTCACATTTAAATTAAGTGCATGTCATTAGTTATTCCACCAGCATGCCTAAACATCCTTATATACTGATCCTTATATATAAAGAAGTGAATTAATCAAAATATCTAATGAATTGGAATTAAAGTCGGATTGGACATGATAATATAGGGAAACAATCATGTAGACTCATAATAAGTCAGAGTCGGAAATATCATTAGTGGCACTCTAGGTCAAGGTCCTGGTTTTATAAATCGGGAGCTTCAGCATTGTGAAGTGATTTTCCTAAACAACAATTTGTATGGCAGATCTGCTGGCTTCTGGGCTTGAGTCTAGAGTCCTTTCCACTATGTCTAAATATATCTCCTTGTATCTTCACCTTAAAGTCTTCTTTTTCCAATTATGAAAGGTATATCTCACACAATAAAAATGCTAATATTTAAGCTAACTACACTTCTTTCGTTGTTGTTGTTTTTACAGGATTTTACATTTCTACCCCGACTGGACCAGGAGGGAGAAAAGAAAGAGTACGACTTTTAAGCCTCCCTTTCGTCCTCACTTCGGAACCAGTCTGCCTTAGTTTCTGGTAAGTTGTAGGCACATGGTAAACACTTATTGAACGAGTAGCATTGCCTTTTTCAAGTTGCCAGGCTCAGATGACACAAAGACGTTGTTCAAAATTTTAATGCATGTGCCATAACTTTTCCAGCTAATAAAGTAGCAAAATGTTGGTAGCCTCCTTCCCCTTCCCCAGTACCTCCCATGCCCAAGATGCATCAAGGGTATTTCAAAGACAGTAAAGGATTTAGAGAAGTCATTATATGGAAACCCTGGTGGCATAGTGGTTAAGAGCTACGGCTGCTAACCAAAAGGTTGGCAGTTTGAATCTACCAGATGCTCCTTGGAAACTCTGTAGGGCAGTTCTACTCTGTCCTATGGGGTTGCTAGGAGTCAGAATCAACTCGACGGCAACAGGTTTGGTGTTTTAGGGTTTTTTTGCATGGTACGAAAGGTTAACACACTTGGCTGCTGACCAAATGTTGGGGGTTTGAGTCCACCCAGAGGTATTTCAGAAGAAAGACATGGAGATCTACTTCCAAAAAATCAGCCACCGCTGAAAACCCTGTGGAACACATTTCTACTGACACACATGGGGTCACCATGAGCCATAATCAACTGCATGATAACTGGTAAAGGATATAGAAAAACCCAACTGTCAAAAGTAGGGTTCAGGTCAGCTATAGCTTCTTCCTTTGTGTAAGAGCAAACAGACTCTGGGGGAGGCAGGGAAGAATGAATGGAATGTTCGAGTGACTGCTGTGGATCCTGAAAACTAAGCAGGTTTAAAAAGATAAAGAAACAAAAGGAAAGGGGTGATTCCAAGGCAAATATGATGATAAAGTTATTTTTTTGTGGGTCCTGATTTTTTTTTTTGTAAGATTTCAGAATCATTGATCACTAAGAAGTAGTAAAACATGAAATTAAACCTATTGCACAAAACACTGACATATTACAATAAACTATTTTCTCTCACAATGAAGATGGCCTTTTTTATTACTTTATCTGTTTTCCAATAATTTAACCAGAAGTTAAGAAAAAAAGGATTTAGGGGACTTAATAAGATTTGCCTTCATTTTTTTTCTGAAGGCTAAAGGGAAAAAGAGTCCTGGAGGCACAATGGTTAAGCATTTGGCTGCTAACCAAAAGGTCGTTAGTTCAAACCCACCAGCTGCTCCTTTGAAACCCTATAGGGCAGTTCTACTCTGTTCTATAGGGTCACTATGAGTCAGAATCAACTCCATGGCAAAGGGTTTGGATTGGTTATTGGTGAAAGGGAAAAATAGAGTAGATGCATTTCGAGAAAGATATGATCATTTTTCTACTGGAATGAATGTCTAATGCTAAGATATTGGATTTTCACAGACAAATTCTATGATAATATTATTGAATGATTGATTCTCTAAATTTTCTTAAGGGACTTTTAGCCACCAAGTTAAAATTGGACAGAAGAAATTACCGGAAAATTCCTCTATACAACAAAATTTTCCTTTCTCGTGTACTACAGAAAGTACACTCCCCAACTCTCTACCTGTGAAAACTTAAATGAGATAAAATACAAAGAAAAATGTGCTTTGACATATCCTGCCATTAATCTAACATGTTAGAATCATTTCTGAGAAAGGCTAGGAAAAAAATTAAAATAATTATGCACTAATTCATAAAAATGATTTCCCCTAGAACCTGATTTTCTTTACCTATTGATCCTCTTATTATATGTACTCTTCTTTGAGGTGTTTGGTTAGGTAATAAAAAATACAGTCATATCATACGTTTATACACAAAATGTTGTGGATGAGTGTGCAATGCACTTTTAATCATGCTTTAACTACACAGGTGCAATTAAATGAGAAGTGGAATCTCAAATGATTCCCTCCTTGGGAGCTCCCTCTGGAGTATTCATCATTTATAGGACTTGCACTTACATTCCGTAGAATGATAGAACCACATCATCTTGGGCTTGGGGAACCATTTGCAAGCTTGCAACGGCTTTAATTTAGCTGCTAAACATTTTCTGGATATTAGAGTACATTCTCAGAAGTTCTTTTTTTTTTTTTCTTCAAACACTTGAAGTTTTATCTTCAACATACTTGATTTCATAGAACAAATTAATACCATCTATTTTTTCCTCTGAACTACTTCCACCCATTCAAAACTAGGCAGAGTTTCATTGGCATTTTGATTTTATTTTGTTCTTTAAGCTGCTCTTATTCTAAGTAGGAATCCAATCATTTTTTATATGCTTGTTTCCAAACCAGGTATTATATGTATGGTGAAAATGTCTATAAATTAAGCATTAATATCAGCACTGAACAAAACATGGAGAAGACAATTTTCCAAAAAGAAGGAAATTATGGAGACAGTTGGAATTATGGACAAGTCACATTAAATGAAACAGTGGAATTTAAGGTTGGCAAAACACTTTGTGATTTATAATCATGTATTTGTAGTCTGTTAAGGGTGAAAATGGTTTATTTTCTGTAAACAGACAAGACACTTTCTCTACTTTCCTAATCTACCTCTTTTTTTTTATTGGGTACTTTTATTTTCATCTATTCAATGACATAAAAAAAACCACATAAGGAACAATTTACTACATGACAAGTACTGCTTATACTGGGCCACAAAAACTCATAAAAGTGTTGTAGGATATTTAATCTTTCTCCAGCACTTTCTACCACAGGCCAACCATGTCTTCCCACATCCCCAGCCTGTCTAAAGCTTCCAGCATTTCACAAAGACCACCCAGGTCTACCCTGCACTTTTCTAGAGAGTCACCCTTTTCTACCAGCAATCTGAAATTGATCAAACATGTAATCAAGATGCATTGATAATTACTGGTGTTTGGAAGGTGAAAGCTGGAAACAAAGAAGAAGGAACAGTACTTGGAAAATACAGCCTTGGTGATAGGAACAATGCTGGAGATCGCATGATAGAATTCTACAAGACTAATGAATGATTCATCAGAAATACTTTTTTCGACAACACGAACAATAACTATGCACGTGAACCTAACCTGATGGACTACATGGAAACTAAATGGACTTCATCTGTGGAAAGAGATGCTGGAGAAGCTCAATATTATCAATCAGGACAAGGCCAGGGGCCAACTGCGGAACAGACCATCAATTGCTCGTAGGCAAGTTCAAGTTGAAGCTGAAGGAAATCAAAGAAAGTCCACAAGAGCCAAAGTATAACCTTGAATACATCCTGCCTGAATTGAGAAACCATCTCAAGAATAGATTGGACGCACTGGACACTAATGACTGAAGACCAGAAGAACTGTGGGATGACATCAAGGATAGCATACATGAAAAAAGTAAAAAGTCTCATTTACTTTGGACAAGTCATCAGGAGGGACCAGTGGGGAAGGACATCATGCTTGGTAAAGTAGAGGGTCTGTGAAAAAGAGGGAGACCCTCGATGAGATTGACATGGATTGACACAGTGGCTGCAGCAGTGGGTGTAAACATAGCAACAATTATGGGTATGGCACAGGACTGGGCAATGTTTTCTTCTGTTCCACAAAAAGTTGCTGTGAGCTGTGAATTGTAGCTTACTCTACCACACTTAACAACAACAACAATTAGCACCTCCATGTCCATCAGTATTCCTCCACCCTGCTCTGACTCAATCTCCATATATTTCCCTTAGAAACAAATTCTATGAGCTGTATCAGTGGGAAGTCTCTGATAATTTATTTCACATTAAGGTGAATTAATTTTTCAAATAAGAGCTTTATGTGTTCCTTTCTTAAGGGTGTTTGCAATTAAAATAAAGGATAATAGTTTGATCGAATTAGCAATGTCATTTCAGAAAAGCAAGTCTCACTTTCAGAGATTCCATATTTGGACAGATGTTGTCGTCTGTAAAACTTTCAGTTCTCCCCCATGACTTGGTGTAAGGCAAGCAATAGTCAACAGCCCTCAACTGAATTCCTCCCATCTTTCTTTCTTTCCTTTTCTCTTCCTCTCTTTTTTCCTTTATGATGCCACTTTCTTTTCTGTGAAATTTTCTTCTTTATCTTTGTTTATTTTCTGATCATTGAAAGGGGTAAGCAAGGGATAACGGAACATCAAGGGATCAAAGAGATGAAAGGGGGAAATTAAGTATCGCGGTGGCCAAATCTAGTTCAACTCACTGGGCATTTTTTAAAGTAATATGACTGGATCCACTTTTTCTAAGTTTGCTGATCAGGCAGAATGTGAGTGTTGAGTTCTATAAATATTTGCACCATGGTTTTGCCATTTTATTGTGAAATCTTGAGCAAGTTACTGTAATCTCTTTGAAACTCAGCTTGCTTGTACATGAAAGGGAGAAAATAATATTTATAATTGTGTTCGGCATTAAGTGGACGAATGGATGAACAAAGCAGTTAATGCATGACTGTACAATAGTATTGGAAAAATTAGATGAAATAATATGTACGAAGTGCCTAGCACATAACAGGTATTCAGTTTATGTCTTTTCTCTCCTACACAGGAAAGAATCCAGGGACATCCTGCAAAAATGTCCATTTTCCCTGAGGCCCTAATATGCTCCATCTAACCACTGACCTTTTCTCTCAAGTTTGGGCCTATGTCCTCTGGAATAACACCATCACACAGTCTCCCATACCAGCACCCCTCATGAACTATGGCTAGCACCAGCCAGCCTCATATGATTATATTATACTCATAACTTTCTCTTCTCCTGTTCATTTCCAATTGAAATTATCTAACAAATGCATCTTTTCTTTAGGGCTTGTATGCTCTAAGAAGGCAGACAGCTACCTAGATTTCTATATTGCTGGGGGAAGAATCTGGGAGAAAGTTGTTCTCCCCTGTTGGATGATGTGGTTGGATGACAGAGTACAATGGAGTACTCTGTCCAATATCTGACAATATCACACCAGTGAGAATGAGAGAAGGAACAAGAGAGATCCTGACAATGTTGCTTAATTCAAATGGAGGATACTAGTGAAAATTTAGACCCACATGGGAACATAATAAGGGAGTTGTGTTTAGTAGGAGGACCTTACAAAAGCATTATCCATTAATATTTTACTATGTAGCAACCCTGTCATCCTACATTTGGCGACATCCAGTATTGACTCTCCAAAGGATATTGGGCTAGAAGAAGAATCTTCTAGAAAAATAGAATGGAATCATTTCATATGTCTCTCTGATTTACAGGTTGCTTTTGATGCTTTTAAAAACACATTCCTGAGTGACATTGCATTGGATGACATTAGCCTAACAAATGGGACTTGCAATGTGAGTCTTTACCCAGAACCAACTTTGGTCCCAACTCCTCCACCAGAACTTCCAAGTAAGTATCCTTAAGGTAAACCTTCCTTTATTAAGTCGTTGATATTTTCAGGTAGATTTTGCTTTGGCTTATTTTTTGTTATCTCAGAGTTTATTTATTTATTTATTTATTTTCACTAAAAAGTAAACACTTTAAAATTTAAGTAAAATAGAAGCTAGTGGAAAATGACATGTTATAAATAAACCAACAATGAAAACTACTTAGTACTTTGTTACGCTTTATACTTATGACAATTTTTCATATCCTTTTCCTTTTGAAAGTAATGAAGATGCTGATTTCCACTGTGTTTTGACTAGAATACAAATTAGTACTGTATTGGCCATATGACATGGCCTATAGTCTTTGGAGCCTTGGTGGTGTGGTGGTTGAGAGCTTGGCCACTAACCAGAAGGATGGCAGTTTGAATTCACCAGCTGCTCCTTGGAAACCCTATAGGGCAGTTAGTTCTGCTCTGTCCTATAGGGTCACTATGAGTCAGAATCGAGTTGATGGCAAGGGGTTTGGTTGTTTTGGTTTTCATAGTCTTTGAGGAAGAAGACTTTTGGTTTTCATAGTGTTCCTAAGGAAAGTTTTAACGTCTCAAGAGGAGTTTGTTGAAGCCTGAAACTTCCCAAGTATATTTTCAGGATAAATCAATAATCATAATTGAGTCTGGACTTTAACCATATACACATAGATCACATAAGAGTTTTGTCTTGAAATGGTGCCTCTCTAAGGCTTTGCAATAGCCTCCATTCACAAAGCCACAAATGCGATGCAGCTGAGCAGTGGCTCAGATTTCTGGTGTCCTTTGGGGTCTTTTCACCTGAAAGAACAAAGTGAGCCTGTGTCTACCTTGGCACTTAAGTTAAATTGGAAACTTGACATTTCAGAAGCAAAAGGGACATTATCATTCACCTCACCCATGCCAAAGGAGACAAGCACTCCATACGGCTCTCTAGACTATGGGATTTGAAGAAAAAAAAAAAGAAGTATGATGATAAACCATATCAAACATATATTCTCCCTCTATTGTTGTGTGTTGTTGTTAGCTGTTATTGAGTCAATTCAAACCTTGATTACCATATGTATCACACAGTAGAACTGCTCCATAGGATTTTTTTTGGCTGAAATCTTTACTGAAGCAGATCACTGGGCCTTTCATGCATGGTGCCACTGGGTGGGCTCGAAGCATCAACCTTTAATTTAGTGGTTGTTGTTAATTGCTACTGAGTTGATTCCAACTCATGGAGACACCATGTGTACAGAGTAGAACTGCTCCATAGGATTTTCAAGACTGTGATCTTTTGGAGGCAGATCTCCAGACTTTGCTTGCAAGGTGACTTTCAGTGGGTTTGAACTGCCAACATTTCAGTTAGTAGTTGAGTGCTTAATCATTTGTGCCACCCAGGGACCAGTTCTCCCTACATTGGAATGTTTTTCACTGAATTGTGGTTTTGACGCAAAAATGTCCCTATGTCCCTTTTGTCTTTGGATTGTGGTGTTTGGAAGCTGACTGCACTACAATTTTGCTTGTGTTGAACCTCATGGATATTTTTGTTCTGTCATGGACCTAAGCCTACAAAGATAGCACTTTTTCTGTTTCCCATTTCCTTCTAATTTCACTTGAAATGCTTCCCATGTTCCCATCAGCAAATCAATTTGGTGAGCCTATCCAAGTTTGGTTTTGCTTCCAAAACTGTATATTTTCCTGTTTGCAATCTTTAAAATTATCAGACAAGTGACTTAATAAGTCACAGGCTTTAAAGATAAATGACTGGTGCCTGTAGAATATTAAACAAGTGAGCTGCCAGAAAGATGAGGATAACAATTATGTCGCTATAGACTGGTCCCATGCCACCATATTGAACATTCATGAACATTCCACCAAAAGGCTAGTTCACACTTGACATCTTGTTTATTATAGACGCTTTTATGAATAATACATAAATTCTCAATACTTCAAATATTTATTCAAATTTTATAAATATCTACTATGTATCAAGCTCTGCATAATAAATGTGAGATGTGGTGATAACCATCAATACTTAAATATATATAGAGAGAATATATAAATAAATATTTAAAGTAATGTATAATTGTGTACCACTAAAATAATACATGGGAGAAACAAATGATAGAGAACTTCAGAGAAGAGAATGTGAGCTAGAGACGGATTTAAGAAAGCAGTAAGATAAAGAAACTGAATTACACTCATAAAATTGAAGCAAAAGCAGGAAAGTACCATCTATTCTCAAGTGATAATATTGGCCATAAAACTATGTCAAAAAAATAAGTTTTTTGACACCACATTCTAGATCTAATTCACCTTTGATCCACCAGTGTCTAACTGGTTCAGACACATAAAACCCATTGCCGCCGAGTCAATTCAGAGTCATAGTGACCCTATAGGACAGAGTAGAACTTACCCATAGGGTTTCCAAGGAGCGTCTGGTAGATTCCAAATGCTGACCTTTTGGTTAGCAGCTGAGCTTTTAACCACTGCATCACCAGGGCTGTGAACACACAAAATAGTTACTAAATAAATATTAATATATGGGAACGAAGCTTCTTTTTCTTTTGGCTGTATTTTGATCTGGGTGCCACGAAAATTTTTGTCAAACCCAATTTTGGTACCAAAAATAAGGCTTGGAAATGATGGGAGTGGAAGGAATATCAAACTGAGTGCAATAATGTGGGGTTCTGTGGCATTGTTGATAATTAATTGCCTCACTTCATTATGAGTAGATGCCCCACTCTACATGTCCATTATATAGAACATTTCTGTGCAAAAAGGGCAGATTTATAATTATTTAAATTATTGATACCAAGTATTAGCAATATCTGATAGTTTGGTATCGAAATATTTTTAAGTAAACAATAGATTTTCTTCTGTAATCCTTTTTTTTTTTTTTGGCAGTATATTCTTCTATTCATTAATAAATGGTTAAGCAGAAAAATTTCTAGGTGGTAATAATATAATCTCATAGACTTAATACTTTAAAAATAGTAAAATCTTATTGCCTAAAATAGAAAATTTGAGATGACTTTTGTATATAATGTCATACGTATTAAAAAACTAAGTATGGTTTTCCATGTTAAAACTTTATCTATGTGACACATATAGTCTTCATATTTATTTCAGTCAGAAAGGGAAAAAGATAATATTTTGATACTAAGGGAGCTTTCTATCCCTGCATATTTGAACAATGCTGTTTTTCGGTGCCATCGAGTCAGTTCTGACTCATAACAACCTTATGTACAACAGAAAAAAACACTGCCCGGTCCTGTGCCATCCTCACAATCATTGTTACATTCGAACTCATTGTTGCAGCCACAGTGTCAATCCATCTTGTTGAGGGTCTTCCTTCTCCAGGGAATGATCTCTCCTAATAACATGTCCAAAGTATGTGAGACAAAGTCTCGCCATCCTCGCTTCCAAGGACTACTCGGGCTATAGTTCTTCCAAGATAGCCTTATACATTGTTTTGGCAGTCCATGGTATATTCAACATTCCTTGCCAACATCATAATTCAAAGGCATTAAATCTTCTTTGGTCTTCCTTATTCATTGTCCAGCTTTTACATGCACGTGAGGTGATTGAAAACACCATGGCTTGGGTCGAGCACACCTTAGTCCTCCAAGTGACATCTCCTGATCACAAGTCCAAAGTACATGAGACGAAAGTCTCACTATCCTGCCTCATTTTAGCAACAGAAGAACTATAACGGTAGAATAACCTATCTGATTTTAAAATATGAACTTTAGAATTTGCCCACAGTATATTTGTTCCAGCTTTCAAGTGGTTCATTTCAGGGCAATATTTAGCGCAGCAGAAAATGTTAATTACCGTCAAATGCATTCTAAACAATTTCATTCTAATGCCATTTGCAATTGGTTCAGTGAAATTCTTATTTGAGCAGAACTTTTCTGGTTCCAGATCACTGATTTGTTTAAGCAGAAATAAAAGGAAACCATGGCTGACTGGCTAATAGCCTTTCTTTGGTTCTTTATAGAGCATTTAAATAAGAAAATAATCTTAGACAAGTAACTGGATAGTAAAGTTCAGTTTCCTCCCGCACTTCAAGGAATTCACATTATGCCTAGTCCTGGGAAATATGTTTGGTTTCATAATTGCAGACATTCTTCCATTTTGTGACTACAATCACTTGCTGCTGCATTAGTTGTATAATTGTTGCCCTTTGACATTGGTATAAATTAATTTAAATGTGGAAACTGTATTGACAACAATGGAAGAAAATAAAAATTCCATTATACAAATATTATGCCAATTTGCAAAACAATTTGTGTGATTCATGACAAGATAACTACGAATTAGCATGGGTACATACAAAACGAAATCCTCATCACAATCCCCAGGCTTATTTCTGAGGCTGTTAAAATAATTAAGAAAAAAGGTCAAGCTATAGTTTTAATTGCTTTAGTAGTCATTGTTGATTTCCATACAGTTCCGCTCCCTTTGACCATTAAATATGCTATATTCCATTTCCAAATACAAAATAGAAGCTAATTGGAAAATTAATGTAGGTAAGACATTATTCTTAGAGCTAAATATTCTAATCCTGATTCTTCATGCAGAAATGAATCAGTACCTACCTACCTACCTCTCTTGTAATTCATGACCATATTCTAGCAGAGCTGCTTGTCATCTATACCATTAATATGACTTAATGAGCAAACTGAAACCGAACCAAACTCATTGCCGTCAAGTCAATTCCTACTCATAGTGACCCTATAGGACAGAGTAGAGCTACCCCATAGGGTTTCCAAGGCGCACCTGGTGAATTTGAACTGCCAGCCTTTGGGTTAGCAGCCAAACTCTTAACCACTGTGCCACCAGGATTTCAATGATCAAAGTCCTAATAAATTCAATATTAACTGCACGTATTTACTCCTATAGCAGCGCGTTTTTGTCTGTTCTATTTTCTTTAATTATTTTACCTTAAAAACTAATAGCCTATCTATTAGAGCTATCATTGGCTAGATTACTATTAATTACAAATAAAATTTAGACCATAGAGGATGATAAACAGAACTTTATTGTTACCAATTTAAACAAAAATATTTACATCATGGCTGGTCACTATAACCTGTTAAAGGAGATGCAAATTTTGATAAACTGAACACAAAATATACGTGGAAAATTTCATTTTAGATTACTATCTAAACTTTCAAAATTTAACTATAGTACTGAAGGATTTGTTAATCTGTTACTGTGATAATAAAAAATGATTGATTTGGAAAATTGGCCACTTTAAAAGTGTTCAAAAGTCAATGTGAGACGTTATTTTTCAAGTTACAGCTATTATTTCCCTCACGTAAGAGTCAAAAATCTGTTTTTACCGTATCCTTACATCTGAAGTCATAATAGCTTATGATTACTTGTTTTATCATAAGCATCTTTTATTCAAACCCTCTTATTTTTAGTAAAAGCTGGGCTCTTCTCTTTTCCATCCTATGGTAAATGCTTCAAAATGACCCATATTTAATGGATGGCAGAGGTTTAAGCATGCATTAAAAAAGGCGTGCCAGATGCCAAATATCTATGTCAACCACTTTGTAAAATACCGCATGTTATTTACATATTGAATGTAGTGAAAATCTCTGTAAGTGTAATAATACGTTAATCAGAATATAAATATTTTTTAGAACAGCACCAAGAAAAATGAGAGTTTAACACCTGTAAATGAACAGAGCTCCCTATAACAGACAGGTATTTAAGTCTTGCTCTCTGGGTGAGGATGGTTTATCTAATGACACAGCATGACTGTGATATCCAGAATTGCATTTTATGAGTCTTTGGCTCCTCTGTTAAGAAGCACATGCTGTGCCTCCACCATAGCAATACCACCATTAAAATAAATTGTGGCATCATGGCTTAAAGGGCTTTTGCCAAATTTCTTCCAGTCATTTATATACTAGGGCTTTGAACCACTTAGTTCCAGTTCCAGTTTGGACCCTTGCTGAGAATTTGCATTTCTAACAATGTACCAGGTGATGCTAATGCTGCTGGTCAGGGAGTAGGGACCAATTCTGAGAACTGCTAGTTGAGCAGCGGCTCTCATGGTTTATTACACATGAAAATCGCCTCGGGAACAGACTGACTCAGAATGTACATTTTAACATTTTAACAAGATCCCCAGGTGAGTCTAAATGGTTGAAAGCCCTGGTATATACAGAGAATAACTGATACATCTTATCATTCCAAGGATCAGAGATATCTTACTGGTCAGTTATTTGATATGAAATTATATTTTAAGTGCCTTTCAAAAAGTACTTGTTAAACATTTTAAAGAAATGAATTTTCCAAGACTTCTGTGTAGCGGAGAAGTGCCAAATAAACTGTTTGCCTTGACAGGCTTAACAATTATACTTGAAAACATTTTAGTTCTGGTCGTGTGTTTATTAAATCCCAACTACTCATCTTTACATATAATATAATGGTAAGCGTTCAGTTCTGTGAAAATGCAATGCATTTGTTAAAATGTAGGCTATTGTGTTATGTAGGCATATTAGGAGTAATACATGACATGCAAACTTTTCCTATTTCTTGAAGAGAAAATGAGAAAAATGGTTATAACAAAAAACAAACAAAATCACCACTGGCCACACTAAGCATGGCTCAATTTGTACAATAAGAAGAGGTAGGCTTCCCCAGTCTTTAACCTGCACTGTTATTTCTGTCCCTGCAATTACCCTTCTTCATTAGCCTTATTGAGAAATAAAGCATTTCATAGCAACTAAGAATTATTCAAATTAAATGAGCTGTGTGGGGAGTAGGGGGGTTGTGGTAAGTCCTTCTTCATGAATCTTTGCAAGATGATCAGTCATATAATCAAGGTGAGCGTCAATCTCAGATGAACAGCCGATGTGGGAGCATGCAGTCAGTGCTCCCACGCCCTTTTTTCAATGGACCAAAATCAAAACCAAATCCACTGCTGTTGAGTTGATTCTGACTCATAGCGGACCTATAGGACAGAGTAGAACTGCCCCATAAGGTTTCCAAGGAGCAGCTGGTGGATTCGAACTGTTGACCTTTCGGTTAGCAGCTGAGCTCTTAACCATTGCACCACCAGGGCTGCTTTTTCAATGGAAACCAAACCAAAAAACCCATTGCCATTGAGTCGATTCCAATTCATAGCGACCCTATTGAACAGAATAGAACTGCCCCATAGGGTTTCCAAGGAGCGCCTGGTGGATTCAAACAGCCAACCTTTTGGTTAGCAGGTGTAGTTCTTAACCACTATGCCACCAGGGTTTCCTTTTCCCCTCCTTATTCCCCATTTAGCCTCCTTTATTTGGTTCAAATGCCTTCCTCAACGCCCTGGGTATACTGCTCTTTCTTCTAGATCTAGCCATCAGTGTCCTGACTTGGCAGTTCTTTAGTCAATATTCTCTTCTGCCCTCCTTCTCCTTGTTATGCACCCATTAAGTGCATTCAGTCTAAACCCTGCCTATGGGTTGGACCAGATGGCGCAAAGGAGTCCGAGTCAGTGTGAGACAGTAACATAGGTGGGATGAGCTTGAGATGAACTGGGCTGAAGTTTTGATTCTGATACCAAGTGAGTGTGTAGCCTAAGCAAGTTATCAAATATCTCCAAACCTCAGGCTGTCAATTTAAAATGAAAATAATAATAACAATAAACTAATCCACAAGGATGTTTTGAAAATCAGTACACACTGAGTATTGCCTTCTCTACGCATATATATACATATATATATAAAATAAAAAAACAAATCTCTTGTCATCAAGTTAATTCTTACTCATAGCGACCCTAAAGGACAGGGAAGAACTGCCCTATAGGGTTTCCAAGGAGCGCCTGGTGGATTTGAACTGCTGATCTTTTGTTTAGCAGCCATAGCTGTTAACCACTATGCCACCAGGGTTTCCAGATATATTATACATATATATAATATATACGTGTACATATAAAATATATATATTGTATGTACTTATATATATAATATATATATCAAGTCTCAGAAATATTAAGTATCTCAGAACAACAATTTTAATCCATCAGCTCCAATACATCCTCATCTTATTATACTTTGTTCTCTCCCCAGATGAGACAATGTACATGGAAACACTTTGCAAACCATATGATTTTGTAAGAGGTTTCCGTATTCTTGCTAAGCTGTAAGAGTTCATCTGAATCTGGACAATCCCAGCCCATAAGGTCATATAAAGCAGTCCATGTTCAATCTCCGTATAGACAGGATAGTTTGGCAATGACACAATTCAGCAAGAACAATTGCCTCTTTCTGTCCTGTCATATACATCATAAAACTTAAATCTAAGTCTGTTATATGCAAATTTAGAAGACGTGTATGAATTCCAAGCTATCTAAATAAATAAGGCAGATGATATGTAAAAGAGGGATCAAAGAAGAGGGTATGACTGAGGTCACTCACATACGTGTAGAGACATTTAATTATCCTGCCTATAATCTGATCCCTAACTGATTGGGGTAAATAATTTGAGTATCCTCTTCTTAACGTTAGAGTAATATTTATCCCAGTTTTCTGTATTCTTCAAATTAGGTTATCTTCATTCTTTTGATCTTATTTTCACAAGTAGTAAACCACAAAAAAATGGTCAAAACTAGCCTTCCAAGAAATTCAATTAGATATTTCCTGGTATGTAGTATTATCTCTTTGAAATAAACATTAGATTACTAATGATTTTTCTCTGCTTTCCTTTTCAGCGGACTGTGGAGGACCTTTTGAACTATGGGAGCCAAATACAACATTCAGCTCTATGAACTTTCCAAACAACTACCCTAATCAAGCATTCTGTGAGTCATTTCTTTTCTAGATTATCAGTAACAAATGCACACGTCAACATTGTATATCCCTTGTCACACCAAAATAGATTATAAGTTTGTCAAACTTGGGTACATCTACCAAATCTATAAAATTGCTTATTATAACGATAACATTAATAATTGCTAACATTTTTTAGCATTTATTTTATGCTCGGCACTCTGTTAGTTCTTGATATACATCATTTCAGTCAGTTCTCCCAGTAATTCTTTTAAGCAAGTGTTACTAGTATAACTCTCAATTTAAAAAGTAGAATAAAACCAGTAACTGAGAGAGCCAGTCTTTCTCCAGATACAGCTCTGTTAATAAATCTCTTTGTGCTGCATATAATGTCTGCTGGATATATAATGGAGCTGTAGTGGAGGTAGTGGTGAAGAGCTAAGGCTGCTAACCAAATGGTCGGCAGTTTGAATCCACCAGCCACTCCTGGGAAACCCTATGGGGCAGTTCTTCTCTGTCCTATAGGATCGCTATGAGTCAGAATGGACTCAACAGCAACGGGTTTATTTATTTTTTTGGTTTGGGTATATAATGAGTTTGCAATTCCATAGAACAAAGTCAGTGGCAAGTATAAAAAATAAAAGCCAACTGTGACACTAACACTTTCTGTAAATATAGGCTAGAATCAATAAAGCAGACATCTGAGTAATCTGATAAGATTCCTAGTACAGAGATGAAATAATAAGGAGGATCACTACAACATCTAGGGCTAGAGAAAATAGTTTACTAAAACCAAACAAGAGCTATCCCTAGGTCAATGTTCTTTAATAGAGAAGCTCATTAGAGCTGCATAGGGATTGTGTTAAAGATGTAGATTCTCCAGTCCATCTGACAAAGATTCCACTCCAGTAGGTCTGAGTTGGGGGACAGACATGTTCTTCCTATGTCCACCTTTGGTTAGGACCTCTGATCTAAACGGAGAATTCTGCAAATGAAAGACATGCCCTAATGGCACTGAAAAATGTGCTTGTAGAAAATGCCAATTTTTCTATCTTAAAATGATCCAGAGAAAAGTAGGTGCTACTTTCATGGGGGAATGGGGTCACTATTATAGGGAGCTACCTGATCTGAGAAAATAAACAGCCATTACTCTAATTTGTCTTATATGGAGAAGCAGAGATTATCATTTCTACTTTACACTGAAGACCTCTTTTAAATAGATCATTTGAACCAAGTAATGGTCTAGAAAATCCAAAATGCAGTGGAACATTAAAACAATTTGGAGAAATTTATTAAATTTATTGAGCTATTCAAAAATATTTAATGAACATCCTTTATTTGTAAGACACCAAAATAAGTACAGGTGAAGCAAGCGTAACAGTCTAGAGAGGAATTCCAATAGGTTGTCCCGCATCACAAAATGTCCAAGGTACTTTTACAGCGAAGGTACAGGGAGTTCACTGTGAAGGGGCATGCAAAAATCCAGAGGTGGGAGACAATGCCTTTTCCTTGAATTCCAACCAGAGGGCAAAATTAAATAATGCTAACAGGTGAAATTGAAGGTGTGAAGAAGTTTTGAACTATGTTAAGCAGTTTGCACTTTATTCTGAGAGCATTGGAGAGACACTGAATGGTTTACAGGAAAATACTGATAAATCAGGCTTGCATTTTAGACGGATCCACCTGGCTGTAGTATCAGGGATAGATGATAAGGGGGTGAGCCATAAGCATCAACAATTAGGAGATGAGAAATGACAGTGGCTTGAACTCAGATAGTGGCAATGGAAATTGTGAAGTAAATGGAGCTCAAGGGACATAGGCGGTAGTATCAACAGACCCTGACGATTGATTAGGTATAGTAGGAGAAAGGGGATCATGCTTAGGTTTCTGGAATAGACGACAGTGAGTGGTTGATTAATGATGCCATTCGCTGAGATAGGAAGGAAAAGAAAAGGAGTGAGTTTGTGAAAGAGATGATCCCGTGTTCTCTTTAGAACATGTTGGGTTTGAGATACATCAGACTGGAGATACGCTGTAAATAATTGGATAAATTTGTCTACTCGAATAAAAAGTGCAGAAAATAAAGGCTTGGAAGTCATCAGTATATAGATGAAAGTGTATTCCGTAAGAGCGAATGAGAACACCCTGAGTGAGAAGGGGCTTAGGACAGAACCTAAAGACTAAAGCATTTCAAGAATCAGCAAAGAACAAGGAGTGCTTAAATGATGCCAAGACTAGTAATTTTGTTTTGCTTTGAAAGAGAAATAACAGCACATAGTACACATAAATGCACAAAAAAAGTAAAGAAAAGCTACTTTCGCTACAAATTACATTTTAATCACTTAATTTTCTTTTAAATTTGATCATAGAAAATAGATGAATTGAACTAAGATATTAATATCTTTTGACATTTATAAAATCTCTATCGTAGGAGTAAGACTTTCTGCAAGTTTCTCATTAAAGTATTACATTTATGTAAGTTATAACAAATTCAATTACAGTAAATGTTTCGCATTTAATTAAAGATTTATATTAATTTACCTGATGAAACTAATATATTTCATCACAAAAATAACAGCTTGAAATATTGGTTTTCATGAAATGGAAAATAATCTGGAAAGTGATATGAAATAAGAAAATGAAACTTTTAGGGGAAATCAAATGAAGTGGGTTCTAAACTAAGTATTTTTATTTATTACTTTTAAGGTATTTGGAATTTAAATGCACAAACAGGAAAGAATATACAACTTCATTTTCAAGAATTTGACTTAGAAAATATTGCAGATGTAGTTGAAATCAGAGATGGTGGAGAAGATGATTCTTTGCTCTTAGGTAAGTCTGAATATTTGCAAGTTGAAAGTTGTGCTGAATGGAAGATTGTATATCTTAAGATATTGAACTGAAGGAGTATTTCTTAATAAATGTAATCAGCCTTTTAAAATCATCAAAATAAAAATACAACAGTAGGGGAACGTGTTGAGTTTTACATGAAGCTTTCATTGAAGGGTAATGTTTACACTGATGACTTAAAAAAAAAGATTCTTCTTGAGCTTTCTTGACAAACCAGGATTAATAGATTTGAGTCATCGTTCCTTCCATTACAATAAGAGGACAGCCTTGGAGATAAAGAGCTGGGGACAGGCATGCAGTTTCCTTTACATCAGACGTCCACAGGTGTCTATTAAGTCTGTTTTTTTTTGTTTTCTTTTTTGCTTCATTTCAAATTAACCAAACAAATTATGTATTTGATACACAGACTTTCAGAATGATTTTTACTTCACATTTCATTATTACTTAGATTGGCAGTCTCGCTCATCTCATAATAGATAGTTTTATATAAATATGTGAAAGTGATTAAAAATTTGACCCAAGCTGAGTTGATTTGATCAATTTGTCTGTTGATGATTATTTTTAATAAATACAGAAAAAAGTGTACCCTTTAAAGAAGGGAAATTTTGTACTTAGATCAGAAAATACATGGTAACCGTATTAAAAAGCTATCACTCAAATGTAATAGCTAATTTGCTAATTAGCTAGTAACCAATTTTTAAGAAAGAATATCTTTTTGCAAGTTATGCATAAAATTATGAGGCTGGTTGACGGGTTCAATGGAGTACATGAAACAATGCACTTTAGGACTAAAAGTGTTTTATCTAACTATGATTTGGACTCATATCAACCATTTCTTATAAAATCTAGCCTATTAGTCATGGGGTTGCAATCATATGAACACTGCAACTAATTGAAGAATCCGGAAGACATGTTCTATGGCACATAAAGAGACAAGTGAGTCCTCAGCCATGCACAATCCACCCCGCTAGGGATGGGTTTTGAGAAAAAAATCCCAAGACGTTTGACAGTGAAGCTTCCTAAGAGAGGTTTGAGGGCCACACAGAACAATGGAGTTAAAGAATAGAAGTTCCTTGTGGGGCTAAAAGGCTAGCAAGAACTGAATAACTTCAAATTTAGTTTTTATATACACATTACTAAACATGTTTTCAGTGCTTTTCTCATTTCCAGATTACATTGTCCTTCAAATAAAAACTTCAATTTTCTCATGACATAATATTTATGTAAATCATTGAAAAGTAAATAAGAATTCTGGAAGGATATCTTGGAATCATAGTTTCCAAATGTGTAGCAAGGAGCTCTTTTGAAGCAGAATTGCTTTCAGGGATTCCAATATATAAACTTTTAAAAGGATGAAAGTATTTTTTTAATTAGCTTAAGATTCTATTTTTTTAGTAAAGAGTGTTTCATTGTTTATGAAACCCACAGAGCCCAGGAATTAGTGGGAAAAAGGTTGAAAATCATTATTAAGATTTATATTATCTGTTTTTAATTAATCCATTCTTCAGATTAGGTTAATTATTTAACTTACAAAAATTAACAAATAAATTTAGACAAAAATTTACTAAGGGAGACTGTAACCTTTATTTTTTTATGTTATTATTGGGTTCCATGAAGTCGATTCCAACTCATAGTGACCCCAAGTGGCAGAGTAGAACAGGCATATAGTTTTCTTGGCTGTAATCTTTAAGAAAACAGATCACCAGGTGTTTCTCCCACATAGCCTCTGCGTGGGTTTGAACTGCCAACCTTTCGGTTAGCAGCTGAGCACTTAACCATTGTGCCACCAGGGCTCCTTTAAACAGGCAAATAATCATTCCTCTGAAATTATATAAGCTTGAATAGTAGTGGTGCTTAATCAGGTAATATCATGAGTAATTCATCATTGAATTATAGAGCTGCAGAAGTCTCAAGTAATATTAAAGTTGGCTTCCTAGAAGCAAAGTCTAAAATGTAAAAGAACATACACATTTTTTTTTATATGTGGCTTCTTCATGAGTTAGGTTGAATGCAGCCCTACATCTAGAAGATGGAATTGAGATAAGACGTACATTTCCTTTTGGATACAAAGGATCGTTTCACTGATTTTCTTGTTTTCTTTCGGAGCAGCTGTGTACACAGGACCCGGTCCGGTAAATGATGTATTCTCTGCCACCAACAGAATGGCTGTGCTTTTCATCACTGATGACCAGGTGACAAGTGGGGGCTTTAAAGCAAATTTCACTACTGGCTATCACTTGGGGGTTCCAGGTAAGCACACTCAGGATTACACATTGTGTATTAACTTTTGGAGAGAAACTATAAATACGTATAGGATTGCAAGGCCAAAATCAAGATTTCAACATTTGCATCTAAAGCGCTCATTCTTCTTCCTCTTAATAGTTTCATCCTTCCTTTACTTCTATATAAGCATCACCTGAATTTGTTTAAAGCCAGAATCCACAATGTTTTTCAGAAGATTGTCTCTTCCACTTCTTTGGTATGTAGAGTCAGAATTTTTTGTTGTTGTTGTTCTTATTACTTCATGTAAATTTTGTTCATTTTGTGGACTGTGCTAAAAGTTAGAAGTGGGAGACTTGACACTTGATGTTCCCTTTGCTAAGAGCATTTTCAAAAAGCAACAGGGAAATAGGCATGTCAGCTATTTAAATGCCAACAACATCCAATTAATAAATGAACAGTCTTAACTTATTAGAGAGAACCAGCGTAAAGTTGCTGCAATAAAGGAATTTGATCATGATGTTTCCTGGAATACACAATCTTCTTACCCTGTATTTATGGAATCAATAATACAATCAGCAGGAACAAACAAGATTGTGGACTGCTCTACATGGATATATACAACCACATAACTCTTTACAATTAACGATGTACAGAGACGTTTTGATAGCTTGCTGCTCCACTCCAACTACACTTTATCTTACACTACTGCCTCACAACTCGGTGGTTCTCTGTAGGTACAAATATGTCAGGAAGAGAGAATGTATGTTAATCCCTACCTCTATCTATCTTTGCCTTACAGAGGACCTTGTGGTCTGTTTGGGTTTTGTTTGTTTGTTTGTTCTAGCTGCTAGATGCCTAGGCAAGACACAGGGTGGGATGATCTTCATCTGGCCTGTTATCTAATCCTACATCCAGATGTGCAATTAAGTTATGTTTATATCTGTTCCTCCACTCAAAACTGGCCTAGACCTTTGATTCCAAACCAGATAGGGTGCTATGCTTTCAGCTTTACAGTAAATAGGGAAGTTGACCTGTAGCTACTACTGGTCTACCAGCTGACCTGATTAATAAGTCATAACATTCATTATTCTCCAGATTACTGAGGTAGGAGAGACTGGTAGCCCAATCAGCTGACCTGCTCTTGAAGATTTTGTAACCGGTTTTAGCAGCAGCTACTTGTGAATTATAAACAACAACGACAATGAATCAATCAAAATAGTCAATTAGTGAAATATATAAACAAAAAATTAACACCTACGAAAAAATATATAGCGTAAAAAAGGAATAAAGATGTTGAAGCCTACAAAAACATTAGAATTTATTTTAAAATAAATTGGACTACATGAAAAAAGAGATGTAGAAATGACAAGTCATTATTAAGTGACAAAAAAGAAAATACAGTGATATGAAAATACCAATAAATTTAATGTAAATATGTATATATATATGCTCCAGAAATAATTAAATCAGTGCTATGGAAAATTAATCAAGACAATTTTGAGAATACCATTTTGAATTGAGTCACTTTGATTCTGTCCCTTGATGATTTTCTTCTGATAACCGTGTTTGTGTACCAATATTTTATTTACAATTTACGATTTTTTTTTCTTTGTGGAGTATGCATTATTTTAATTTAATTCAATATTTTATTTAACTTACATTAATCATTTGATTTTCTGACATTATCAGTGATGCTTTTAAGGTGTAGAGGGTGATAGATATGGATAAGGAAAATTTGATAGTTTATATTTAGTACTTTTAAGATAAAACAGACTTTGGATATATTTTGTTTGATAAAAGCTTATTGGTCCCTATTGCTATATTGAAAAAATGGTATAATAAAGAGCTTTGGGTAATAGTACTGGCTTTACCATTATTTTATACTTAAAATTATGACTCTAACATTTTTTCTTAAAAACTAAAATACAACTGCTAAGTACCTGTCCCCATAAGTGATATTATAGCACAGAAGCCGATTGAGAGATTTGGAGTAGCCAAAGCGAAAGGAAGAAACGATGAAGTAAAAGAGTTGAACAGAGGATTTCAATGGGTGGTTTGAGAAGAAAAAGTAAAGTGTCATAATGAAATGTGCAACGACCTGGAGTTAGAAAACCAAAAGGGAAGAACACGCTAGGCATTTCACAAGCTAAAGGAACTGAAGAAAAAATTCAAGCCTCGAGTTGCAATATTGAAGGATTCTATGGCGAAAATACTAAATGATTCAGGAAGCATCAAAAGAAGATGGAAGGAATACACAGAGTCCCTGTACCAAAAAGAACTGGTCACGGTTCAACCTATCAGGAGGTAGCATATGATCAAAAACTGATGGTACTGAAGAAAGAAGTCCAAGCTTGTGAAAAGGAAGACTTTAATAATTTTTTCCATTAAAAGTATTATCGTTGCTGGTTTTTTTCATTAGATTCTTATAAAGAGATATAACATCAAAAACTGGGAAAAATATGACAATCTCTATTCAAGATAAAATCTAAAAGAACATAATCTATTGCTCTCAACACAAAATACACGGTGTAGGGTTTGTTTAAATTTGTGTCCCCTTTGACTAGATTCAGTTACTACTGTTTTGTTATTTATGAAGTAAATTATTTTCAAGAGCAAACTCCCTTGATTGGAAGTAGAATGGAGAGCCTCCTATAACCAATACTGCATGGTGAATATTCTAGGAATAGGGTTTCACATTCCTTCTAGACATGGGACAGGTACCAATGAATAGAAAATGGGTTAATTGGATTACCATCAGCACAGTCTTCTCTTAGCCAGATTTTCACATCAACCTACTGGAAAGCAATCACAGAAATAGAGAGTTGGCAGTGAAATATAATCAACCTAGTAATGGAAAGAGAGATTGGGCACAAGTATCTGTTGATATTGGTGCATTTTCCATTTACATCAAACTGGAGTGTATAAAATATAGATTTATTACGATTGGTCTCCTATAAATGTTCCCTCATTGCTCTTTTGTGATACTCAGAGTCTTAATTTGGAATTCAGTAGTGCTTAACAGGCAACTGTGGAAGTAGAAGCTGATTACATTTAGGGGGCTTAAAGTCCTCCCCGAATTGTGTGGCATGTGCCTTAGAGATCAATTCAGTTCCGTATAAAACCAAGCATCTGTTGACAAAATGAGGCAGGGCTACTGGAGACTTCATAAAAAGGAGATGGGGAAATTAAATTCTTAGCAATATTTCTTTTTCCTTCTCTCACCATAGGCATAAGACCATCAAAAATAAGATTTCAGAGGCCACAGAGAATTAAACTGTTGGGTTAAAGACTTTCTAATGAAACCAAACTTCTGTATATTGCAACAAACTAGAATCCAATTTGAGCATGCAAGGAAAATTTTGGAAGATCTTATTTCCACCTCTCCTCAGTTTATAATTTCTATTCAGTTTAACAACGATAGTTTTGCTCCATCAGCATTTCTGCATCCAATGCATTCAGCTTACAGAAAACAGGTTAATTTTTCTGGATCCATAGGGTATAATCCTACTAGCTTTGTCTAAAGTACAGAAATGAGTCATAATTTTCAGATATTTATAGATGTTTTAATTCAGATATTTAACTTGTTCCATTCAACTAATATGTGCTTTTCCAACTAAATATAGTCTGTCTGCACTGGTAAAAGAGTAAAATTATCAGTAAGTTTAGCTATAATTAAATTATTGGCATTGAGAGTTCATTTTTACATAATGATTTTAACAAGCCACAAAAACAAAGTAATGAGATGATTTCAAAATAACTAGTGGTGACTAACATATCTATAAGTTAATTAAGATATTAGATTATGGGTATCTAATCAATGCTGTCAACTTTTTAAATACGTATAATATATGAAAATATAGATTTCAGGTAGAATATATAAATACAAATGCATGTAAAGCTAGTTTTGAAACTCTCCCATTTTCTAAGGGAAATGCAATACTAGAAAGGTAAAATATAAGGTCAGTTATAATATTATAGCTTGCCTGTAGAATATGTAGTTGTCTTTGCCCATTTATCATCTCACTAATCTGGTTTAAAACTTTTGTGTGTTTGTGAAACAAACTGAAAATTACATTTACAAGAACCTCCCTAATAGTCTTATATTTTGACTTATTTTTTTGTCTACTTCTCTCATGGTATAAATGTTTGCGGGAAAAAAACACACATGGCTGCCTTAAAATATCTTATTAAGGTAATTTAGATTTAGATAGAAAAAATACGGAATTTTGCAATGTTTAAAATAAAGTACACAAACAGCTTCAATTGCTTTTATAAGCTATCTAGAGGAAAGCATTAGTTATGGCTACTTGTTGTTTGTCTGGTAATCTGGAGAAGAAAATAGCACTAGGGCTTTCAGAATTTTTCCAACTGTGACCATAGTAAGAAATAGATTTTAAACCATGTACGCACATGGAAGGAAGAATATTAACTTAAAAATACCAGTGAAAAGGCTGGTGGGTAAACGTTACCACTTTTGCTATTCAGAATATTATTTATTCAGCATTCATTATATGCATATTGGCACATTAAATACATTTCATTACTTTTTAAATTTATTCTCACGACATACCTAAGATATAAATAGTGTTTATTCTCATTTGACAGTCAAGGCAACTGAGGCTCAGAAAGATGTTATTTGCTCAAGGTCACAAAGCTAGAAAATGGCTAAATTGCTAATCAAATCAAGGTCATGTGATTCCAGAACCAAGTTTTAATCACCAGGCAAATAAATAAATCTTACCTTCATAATTTGTAAAATTAATTTCTCTTCTTCAAATCATTGGTGTTACTGTCATCCAATTTCCTTCAGTTTAAAGGGTATTTTTTAAAATCATACTTTTAGAAATTGCTTTATTTTGTGTTGGGTCTATTACTAAGATTCATGTTGATTTTTGAAACATATCACTCATTTAACATTAATTAATTTATTTCACAGGACAAACATGAATTGATTCCTTACTTTGTGCGAGGCATTTTGCCAAGCCCTGGGCATTCAAAAATAAGGAAACCTGACATGTGGAAATTATAGTTATGGCATTGTGTATTTGGCTTAATGAATGGCTCCATTCAATTCAGTGAAAGTATACACAGAAAAAAGCTTTATTTTTCTCCATTTACCTTTATTTCAAGTCTTTTTTCATGTCCCGGAAATTTCAGGCAAATTTATTTTCTCTGTAATTACTTCAAGTGTTGAAGACTTACTTTTGGGTATTAAAATGTACAGTATAGTACAACATCAAAACTTTAATATCATCTAATTTAAAGCTTCTTTTATCCCTCAACTCAAGCGCAAACCTTAGCCCAATAAGAGCTTAAAGTGGGGTAGGATGGAAATATGGTCTTTGACTCATTTTCCGCTTTATTTCCCATTCGTCTTCACATATTTCCAGTGTTGAAGTAGAAAGGACGGGAAAATCTGTCACCACTGTATTTTCTTTGGGCTAACACTGGCCCCTGGCCAAATGCTCGCTCTTTTGGAGAACACAGTTGTGGGTTCCTGGGAGCCCCTCTCGCCCATAGCACTACTAGACTGCAGGCATGGGTAGTACACTGCTTGTGTGATCCCTTCTAATGCTGCTCAGCTCCTAATTCTCAGGTTTCATCCCTCCTCTTCTTTGTGCTCAAGCCGCCTTTCCCTGGCAGGCAGTGATATCTTTCCCAGTGTCCACATGGCCAAAATGGAACCCAGGCTTCGTGTCCACGCAAGGAGGAAATGCAGGTTGTTTCTACAGCTGCCATTTCTCTTAGCCTTCACTAACAGCAAGCGGCGTTCCAGCCAACTTTGTGACTTCTGAATTCATTATGCAGAAAATGAACACCCATCTTTATTTACATGGCTATTTGCCTGCAAATGTGAGGGGACTAAAGTCACCATCGCCCATGAAATTTTTCACCATACTTCACTTTAGTTCAGTATTTTTCAGTCATCTTAAAATCAGTATATTGAGTTTTGGCCTGTACTCTTTCTTATGAAGTGGAATGGAATGGAATGGGAAGAGATGGGATGGGATAGAATAGAATAAAAGAATACAATAGAATAGGGTAAAGATTAATTTAGTTACACATACAGAGACACACAAACACAAAATTTTTATATGTGCCCTGGAGTTATGATTTCAAATCTATTTCTTACTAGGGTCACAGTTGGAAAAATTCTGAAACCCCTACTCTAGTGCCTTGGAAGCATCAGCCCTTACGATGCTGCAGTATAATACATTTTCAGTTGGGGAGAGAGATACTAACCACTCTTCTTTCAGGCAACCCCATTTGAATTGGTCCTCTTGGAGATGAGACATTAAGCCTCTCCATACTCAACTACATCTCCATTCTCAATGGATGCAAATCCCATGTGGCCATGAACAGAGTTTCCAGTATCCTTTCAACATGCAGTTGTCTCTCCCAAGCCATAATCAGAAAACACTTTGAGACTAAGGACAAAATTCTCTAAGACCAACTAATTCCAGGCAACAACAACACCCATTCCCTTTAAACAATGAATATTCCCAGTAAATCTCTTTTGGCACAACTCATTCTTTTGCAACAACTATCAATTGCTTCTGTATCTACCCAGCTCCTTTCTTCTATGATCCCTCTTCCCTTTGCTTTTGTTTTTTCATGTGCCAAGCACATACTCATGACTCCAACCCTGCTTTACTTATTCAGAGTTCTATCCCCAGCTTCCTCTCAAATTACAGCTATTGCAGGCTTCCCATTTCTTTGTGACTACTCTTTCCCACCTGGTCAGGCTTTAATTCGGCTGTCTTCCAACCTGGTCCAACTTTGTCCTGCCAGGTAGTAACTTTCAATTTTCTTTATTGTAATGGTTTGGCAGTGTCATTTGGAAATGTAATGGTTTGGTGCCAGACGACCTCTCCTGAAGCCATGCTTGTGTAACATTCCAACTATTATTGCTTAGATGGTGTGTTTATTTAAGTGTGTTGAAGGAATACTGTCAGAGACTCCTGTGGGTAGGCAACCCATGGAAATGATTCAGGCTCTGCTGCAGAGGAAGTACCTGAAGTTTCCTCCACACACTCCTCAAGCTACAACTCTTGCTTTGATGTTACTATTTCTGAGACATTCTGAGCAACTAAGGGCATTGTCTTGTTCAATATGATAGCTCCCTCCACCACATGCTGTTTCAAACGACTCTCAGTAAAAGGGATGGAAATGGGATGGGTTCTCCAGAATATTCTATTTGCAATGTCTTTATCCTATACAATAAACATTCTTTCCCTGCAGAACCCTGCGAGGAAGACAATTTTCAATGTGAAACTGGAGAGTGTATTCCCCTGGTGAATCTCTGTGACAGTCACCCACACTGTAAGGATGGCTCAGATGAAGCACACTGTGGTATGTCTGGTTTCTCTGAGTTTTTTTTTAACCTTTATTATTACTTTAGCATATGTGTTTGGATTCAACAAATGTGAAAGGAAGAAAACAAGTACATTTTTTAGGCCATATTTTTTTGTTTGTTTTTATTTTGTTGTTGTTGTTGAGACTATGCATGCAAAACATACACCAAGTCAACAGTTTCTACATGTACAATTTAGTGACATTGATTCCATTCTTAGAGTTGTACATCCATTCTTACCCTCCTTTTCGGAGTTGTTCCTCCTCATTAACCCATACTCACTGCCCCCTAAGTATCCTATCTAATCTTTTGAGTTGCTGTTGTCCCTTTAATCCCCTATAGAGAGTTTTTAAAAGCGCATAATGCTGAAGGCAGACATTTTTTACTAGTTAAGCTAGACTATTGTTTAGTTTTAAGAAGACTTCAGGGAATATTTTTGGTTTAAGGCTTAAAGATTATCTCTGGGCAATAGTTTCAGGGTTTCATCCAGCATCCATGGCTCCAAGCCATGTTTGGATGCTGTTGGGTATAAGCATCTTCCAGTTATTTCAAGGCCTCTGTCCCCACTTAGGTTAGAAGACAAGTTAACATGCAGGCCTAAAATTTGTTTGTTTAATTTTGCTAGATTTAATAAGTATAGGACAACCACATTCAAGTACAGAGCATAAAATACCGCAGAGAAACAAGAGTCCGAACCATGCACTGTAGCAACACTCTTACTGACTACTATATGTGCTCTGGACATTGCCATCATAAAAGAGGCACCTGCATGTTTTTTCATAACTGTTTCCTTGGAATTAGTTCTTTGCATTCTTGGTTCTTTAGTACCTATTACTCCTTCTGCTTTGTTGAGTTTTCAATCCAGCCCCCTTCCAGACCTTGTATAGCATTCTGAGTTATGGTTACTTTCACATGTCTTATTTTTATTTTGAAATAGAATATTTTATAATACAATATTAAAGCAAAGATTTAAATCTTACTATGTGCCAGGTGCTGTAACTACCATTAAGTGCTTTAAATAATCCCATAATTAGTATTAGCTGTATTTTAGCCATGAGGAAACTGAGCCTTAGAAAAGTTAAGCGATTACCAAAGATCACAGACCTAGTGAAGGCTAAAGCTGTGTTTTAAACCTAAGCCTGTCTGACTCTCACAGTAGCAAAAAATGTATAAAATAAAATTTCTATATAGAGTTACAATATGGTGTTTGGAAGTAAGACTACCATTGCTGATGTTTTACCTGTTTGATAAAGTAGCTTAGCTTGGCCCAATTCCTGCCTAGCCACTAACATCCTTAACACTCTATCAAAAATAGTGTGAGATATTAGGGAGGATGATGGACATCAAACAGCAAAAGGCAGAATTCAAAGAAAATAGTTCCTGGAGAAGAACGTAGAAAAAAAATTGCCTATAGTTATTCCTAAACTTGAATTTTCCTTCTTTTAGATGCTAAATTTATAAGGCATCCTCTTCAAGAATAACCTTATATATTTTATGTTCATTTGCTTTATTGGTATGCAATCAACTTGCCTTTTTCCATTTGCATAGTCCTATGAAAGAGCAAAATTAAGTTCAACAGATTTGTATTATTCAACATAGGCCTTCCAGCATACTCTTAAGAAAATACTACAATTAATTTCTAAACTCTAAATGTTCAGAACGTTGCACATTTCATTTCGGTTGAAGTGACCTGTGTGTGATCTAATCTCTTTAGTGCGTCTTTTCAATGGCACAACGAGGAAAGGCTTGGTGCAGTTCAGAATCCAGAGCATATGGTATGCAGCTTGTGCTGAGAACTGGACCACCCAGATTTCAAATGATGTTTGTCAGCTGCTGGGATTAGGGTAAGTAATTCTACTCAGGCCCCTTTTAAGAGGTTCTCTAACTTTTTTATTGATACCAAGGCAGATTTATTAAGAAATTGAAAATTCATGCAAGTTATGAATTTATAAAATACACATAAAAGGAAGAAAAAATCTTGAGTGGCCCTATCCTCAAAAAATCACCACTGTTAAAAAACTTTTTATAATTATTATACAACTAATAAATACAGCATTACACTATATAAATATTAGATTAAATATTATATTATGTGACCTACTGATATATGAGCTTTTAGCCTGTCAGTAACTATTCTTCTACAGATTATAGGCAATACACCATGCCCAAACTGCATGCTCACAGGTTGGCCCAGATTTCTAAACAGCCAGGAGGCCGTTAGAAAAAGGAAACTAATCACTAATCATGATTCCTCCATGAGTATGGCATCCTTCTGATCAGAGACTGAACACAGGTTAGCACATGGAAAATAGCTTTTATAATTTTATTACTTACAAAAAGAAGCAGACAGCATACAACTGACAAGCGGTCCCCCCAGCTCAAATCTGTCCAAGCAGAGATGGAAAACTTCTACACGCGCCCTGCTATGCACTGGAGATGAGGGACCTGAGGGGAACAGTTACATGATACACCAGTCCTCTCTGGCTTCTGGAAGTTGTCCTGGTGGAGATAGAGAACTCTTCTACTCATGCCTCCACGTGGCATCGTGAATGAGGGACTCGAAATGGGCCAATCTTCTGCGGGTTCCACCTGACCAGATAGACCTAGCTACGTGGGCTGGACACTTATGCTACACATACTTCCAACTAGTACCATAGTTAAGGGACCATGAATTCCCTCACCAGCCATTTTTATACCCCAGAGATCACGTGACTAGGATCTACGTGACCCATTGCACAAAGTACAATGTTATTTCCCACCCTATCTGAGGAGGGAGGGGGTCAGACACCTTGGTACCAAGTCCGGGATTGTATCTCTTTAACTCTGCTGAGGTTCAGACAAACCATTAGCCTTGGAGGATGGGGGTATCGGGCGGTGGTTTGTTCCTGAAGCCCAAAGATGCCAGCAAGAGGAGGAATGGGGAAGACATGGCCACCACGTTGTCCAAAAGACTGCCTCTTCACATCATCATTTTTAAGAAAGTAAAATATTCCATCTTATGTCTATATCATAATAGATCTAACTAATCACCAGATTACTTCCGAGAATATGTTTTTGCTATATCTTTGCAACATGTTCACGATAATTCTTTAGGAAAAGTTGTAGAAGTACAATTGTGAAAAAGGACAAGCAAAATGTAAATACTTTCCCAGGAAGAGTAATGCAAGTGATAATGCCATATTCATAACTCACAAAAAAATTGTTTTTCCACCCAGTCTGATGTCACAATATGTTACTTCAAATATATAAGTATACTATATTCATTTTTTACCTTTCCATCAATCTCAAAAGTAATGAAGTGAAAATGGAAGGTAATAAGTAATAATAATTTACTTCTTTTAAGTTGAACAATCTGTCAGCTCTAAATCACCACTCCAATCTTCTGGTATTCATGAATTTGGAGATTTGGAGATTCCCAACTATACTGAGTCATCTGTGTTTATTTTATCACTTATAACAGTATATAATTAACCAGTTTGCTTATCAAACTCTTATATTAAACTATAAGGTCTTTAAAAGTAAGGGCCATGTCTACTTTATCTATCATTGTATGACTAAGCTCTAGGAATAGATAATCTTTGTCTCAAAAAAAAGGTGCTAAATATTTATTAAAGCAATGAATTATTCATTATATATACATATGTATGTACATATAGAGATACAGACATACCTAGCTCTCTAAATATATACTAAAAGTTGTCCAATTGTAAATTATTATTATTCAGTTTCTGTCCTGAACTGGCAACTGATTTTTTATTTTTATTTTTATGAAGGTTTATGGAGCAAACAAGCTTCTCCTTGAACAACTAATACACGTATCATTTTGTGACATTGGTTGCTAATCCCACGACATGTCGACACTCTCCTCTTCTTGACCTTGGGCTCCCCATTACCAATTTTCCTGTCCCCTCCTGACTTCTCATCCTTGCCCCTGGGCTAGTGTGCTCATTTAGTCTCATTTTGTTTTATGGGCCTAATTTTTGACTGAAGGGTGAAACTCAGGAGTGACTTCATTACTGAGCTATAGGAGTGTCCAGAAGCCATACTCTCAGGGTTTCTGCAGTCTCTGTCAGACCAGTAAGTTTGGGCTTTTTTTTTTTTTTTTGTGAGTTAGAATTTTGTTCTGCATTTTTCTCCAGCTGTCTGGGAACCTTTATTGTGATCCTTGTCAGAGCAGTCAGTGGTGGTAACTGGGCACCATCTAGTTGTACTGGACTCAGTCTGGTGGAGGCTGTGGTAGTGGTGGTCCATCAGTCCTTTGGACTAATATTTCCCTTGTGTCTTTGGTTTTCTTCTTTCTCCCTTGCTGCAGATGGGGTGAGAATAGTGGAGTATCTTAGGTAGTTGCTCACAAGCTTTTAAGACTCCAGACGCTACTCACCAAAGTAGAATGTAGGACATTTTGTTTATAAACTATGTTATGGAAACTGATTTAATTAGTTCCAAAAGATTATATGAAGTTACAAAGGAAAGTAATTTAATTACACAAGCACATATTCCCTTAGCATTCGGTAGTTATCTCAACCATCTATTCCTAACTCATCAAATCAAAGTCAATTGATTGCTTTCCCTGTAAGTGACCCCTTTTTTTTCCCTCATACTTCCAATAACAGTCCTTAGCCTACTCATGTCCAAAATTTGTTCAAAGTTATTTCCTTGGAACCCAAAATATATTTTCCAATAGAAATATTGCATATAATGGTTAGGTCACTGAACTAGCCTGTAAAAGCTATTTAACTTCTAGTGAACCAGAGAATTGTCGTATACTAGTGCCATTATAGAACCTAAACGCCGCATATAGATATTTTATCATAGAAAATATGTTGAGGTCACACTTGAAATGTCAGGAATGCCCCCATAACTTCTTGCAATTGGATTGAGACTTCCATTTCCCCTATCACCAAACATGCCGTGCATTCAGAGTGAGAACTCTCCGGCTCCAAGCTGTTAAAGTCAACCTCATCAGGAAAGCAATTCCTATCAATAGCAAAGGGAAATGGGTTTTATCATCCTTATGTAAATAATCATCAATTTATCTATATCAATCAGAAACTTCCTGCTATATATTATATATGTGTGTGTGTGTATATATATATATATACACATACACATATTCCTTTTTATTATACATTCTAGCTTGTATTCTAGTAAAAACCCTTTCAACATGAGGGTCTTTGAGACATAAAGGATCTTAAAAGGAGGACAGGTTGTAGAAGGAATAATATGATTCGATGAAGAATGAACAAAACACCAAAACTGACAATTGTTTATTTATTGTAACTTCAAGTAAAGCACTGGGTAAGTGACATTGATTCCGGGTTCCTACTTTAAGGTTGATTTGAGTTCAGTAGTGAATTCACAGAGGTGAGGCTCTAGGAAGTCTTTTACTTCCGCTACTAAAGTTGCCAGTAAGGCTGAGGGGCTGTTTTATAGACTCAATGACTTAGTTTGTAAAGATTAGGCTAAGGAGACTGGTAACTTGACCTTGTTTCACCAACTGATAAATCCTAAATTTCTTTCACTGTGTAGGACTTTGTGTTTCAACTCACCACCTTTCTAAGCATCACTGTATGATTAAAAACATAGAGGTTCTTTCCATTGTGGTTTGTGAATCTTCACTAAATTGTTTCCTGGAGGATACATGGGGTTAAGATGAGTCTTTTACCAACATTAAAATGATCAACATCTTACTGAGGGAAGTTTTTGAATGAATTTGAATGAAATATATTGGATGATAGCATAATGCTGATTTCTACAGTTGCCTGAGAGAATGTCTATTACAAAACATGTCTTTATTACCTTTTAACAGTTGCCTAATATAATTATTTTGATCAGAAACATGAGCGTTAGCAGTGATATTGTGTCTGTTCTAGGGATAAATCAGACATGTTTTTATTTTAAATGCTTATGTGGTAGAGATAGACACATAAATAGATCATTACAATATAATGGGATAAATACAATGCCCTGTGGGAGAACCTAATTCAATCTGAGTATGTCAGGGAAGACTTTCTAGAAAATGGCCTAGCAGAGCACGTGACAGCCAATTCTACACAACTGTGTACTATTTATTTACGTGCTTTTGGCTTTTTTTTTCCCATCCAGATTTTACTCTCTGGTTCATTGACCTCATTTCCTATGAGTCACAATCCTTTCAGCTGGAGACAGGGACAAAGAACTAGATTTTTCAGCGTGTGTAAAGCCAGCAGTACATCCCACTGCCTTAGATACAATATTCTGGGTGAAGGTCAGACACTTGCTTTCTTCAGAAAATGAGTCAGGTAATCTCTGCAAAGACTTTAATCATTAGGCCTGCGCTTATTAAATAGTCTCCATAGTGCTCCAGTAATTGAAAGAAAGTTATAGCCTTAATGAGAATTTGTCTAGGCTGGTGCATGGTAACTGAAAGAAAACTTAGTGAGTCTAAAATGATGTGTTTGGTACAGTGGAAAGTAATTTAGGACTCAATTTATTAAAAAGGCGCTGTAGTCTCTCCAGATTATTTATGCAGATAAAGTATAAAATGCAATTCCCTACAGATTCTAGTAAATCATATGAGGCATATTTCATCAGCCTTTGCTTTTTTAAATTAAACATTTTCATTCCCTGCCATTTATCGCATGCGTAAGTAAAAAGTACTTTGAATAACATTTTCATGTCACTGACCTAAGTATGAAAGAAAACGTTTTATCCTGATCCAAGAATAAGTGTTGAAGAAACTTAGAATAGTGATTTTTAAATGATATTTTCTAGGAAAGAGCACTATACTATTTCTAACCAAATATATGAACTATGCAAGTTGATTTGCCTTGCTAATCCATTACAAACTAGTAGAAATGAAATC